GTCGACGACAGATGAGGGGGTCATGCTTCCTTCGAAACTCCCTTCGTCACTGGGCTCGATAGGCAAAATTGTCACTGAATAGTGCTGATTGGCTCTATTTTGGCTAAATGGAGAAGGATTTGAGCAAGAGCAGCATGCGAGGAGGAGATTTTCTGCATCAAGTCGAACTTCATGGAAACACGATAGCATAACAAATCATGTTATTTCGGTCCCGGAATATCAGAAACTAACCATTCGGAGGGGTAGATGTGAAGTGAAGTGACTGGAATCCGAGGCAAAGAAGACCTACGGCCTGTGGACTCATTTGACCCAGTTACCGATGGCGCATTTATGGGTTTCATTGGAGGGGGAATCGCGGTCATAGTCCTCTTAATGCTTGGCAATTCTAATAATAATGCGGCGGCGAGTTTGGAGAGATCCTGATTGAAGGCCGAAATGAAATGAATACCAGGAGGTAAATGAACTGCAACGAAGGTTTATGTATAAGTGTGAAGAAAATGAAGAATGTGGTCACATTTGAGCAGTACCGTTGAGTTAATGTTGGGAAAAAAACAAAATTCATCTAGTTTTTCTACTACTATTGAAATATTACTGGATCCTAAAAGTATGAGAACAGAGGTAGGTTCCTGATCCCCATGCACCCGGGATATCACACTAGGCTTCCTTTCTTAATATTAGCCATTCTGAATTTTCTTAATATTCACCATGTTGAACAGAAACCTCAAGAGGTGTGGTGGACAATATATGAGTCATGAACAGTCACTACTGGGATACCCACCGGACTCATTGGTTTGCTCAACCTTGGGATGAAAGTGTCTCCTCTGTGTTGGTGCCAACATACACGGCAGAACTACTAATCCTGATTGTTCAAAAAACGGGGAAAAGTGGTCCCCTTTTCTCTAAAAAACGGAAAAGATTGTTCCGTTCTCCCCTTTTCTCATACTCTTAGAGAGGGAAGTATACTAGGCAACTCAGTACTATGTATACAAGAAGAAAGAATGAATAGAATAAAGAAAATGGTTGTTAAGTAAGGCGAAAGCTTAGTCAGGGCTTGACATCTTGATGGACAAACTCTTTAGGCTTTAATCGACCCCGTCTTAGGAATGCTGATG